CACCCGCACCTCGCTCAGCCAGTGAGCGGGAACCGATCTGTATGTGGGATCCGAACCCTCGGTGGGAGCGCCGCCACGCTCCCAAGCGGCGCACTGTAGCAGTGCGCCACCGGGCCGGCCCTTATTATTTAGTTTTAATAGTTCTTTATATATTCTAGATACAAGTCCTTTATCAGATAAATGATTTACAGAAATTTTCTCCTACATTATTTTTTGAAATTCATTTCTGTAGCTATTTTTTTTTTCTAATGATCTTAGCATCTTTCAGTTAGTTTTTTACAGTATTTAAGATTTGGAATCAAAAGTCTTTCTCTGATTACCTATAGATATATATATAGATTAAGCCTCTATATGTGCTGAGAAGTTTTCCTGTACTTTTTAACTCTAATTACAACCTTATGGAGTAGCTCTTTAATCTCCATCTTATAGCTAAGGAACTTGAGGATTGAAGAGGTTAAGCAACTTGCCCTGGGTTACACAAGTACTTAAATAATAGACCTGGATCTTCTGTACACCTGGAACTGGTGAACATATTCATCAGTCTGGGAAGATTAGCATTTAAGGGGAGCTGACACTGTAATTTTATAGCATTGGATTTCATAGGTCATATGTTTTATCTTTTCCACTGAGGAAACCTTAGCTCTGCCTTCCACAGTTTAGGAAGAGCACGGGTTTCTCGGTGAGATCCCATTAACCAGCACTCTACTTCTTTCTCACCCACGTGTGGAACAGACTGCACTTCTCAGGGCCCTCAGCACCTACCTTCTGTAAGTGGTTTCTCTAAGCTTTGCTACAAAACTTGAAGGCTAGGGTCAAACTTAAGTAGGGAGTAGTTCCTTAACAGCCAGAAAGGTGAAAGCCTGTTATAAAGTTTGTGGATTAATTTTGAACCCCAAGTGAAAGCATATCTTTTTTTTTTAAAAAAAAGATGACCGGTAAGGGGATCTTAACCCTTGACTTGGTGTTGTCAGCACCACGCTCACCCAGTGAGCGAACCAGCCATCCCTATATGGGATCCGAACCCATGGCCTTGGTGTTATCAGCACCGCACTCTACCGAGTGAGCCACGGGCCGGCCCCGAAAGCATATCTTTTGAATCCATAGTTTATTGTGTGTTTATCTTTCTGAAAGGAACTTATAAGTTTAAAAATAATGTTTTGTTTTGTTTTGCTTAAAGATGACCGGTAAGGGGATCTTAACCCTTGACTTGGTGTTGTCAGCACCACACTCACCCAGTGAGCTAACCAGCCATCCCTATGTGGGATCCGAACCCGTGGCCTTGGTGTTATCAGAACCACACTCACCTGAGTGGGCCACAGGCCGGCCCTAAAAATAATGTTTGATGAAAGTAAACCTAGGATCTTTGCATTTCCATATAAATTTTAGTATCAGTCAGCTTGTCAGTTTCTACAAGTTAATCCTAAAGTTTTCTTGGAAATGCAGGGCTGCTGATTAGCTCAGTTGGTTATCAGTGGTACTGATAACACCGAGGTCCAGTGTTCTATCCCTGTACTAGCCAGCCTAAAAAAAAAAATATATAGGGCCGGCCTGGTGGCGCACTGCGCTAGTGCGCCGCTTGGGAAGCGCGGCAGCGCTCCCGCCGAGGGTTCGGATCCCACATACAGACCGGTTCCCGCTCACTGGCTGAGC